GGGTGCTTTACTTCTTAATTACATTCCAGCCCTTTTAATTTTGAGACATGGTCTCTCTAAGTTACTGAGAATCTTGCTAAATTGTTGAGGCTGGCCTCCAACTTGTGATGCTCCTGTCTCATCCTTAGCCTATCACTGGAATTACAGGTGTGTACCACCACACCCAGTCTCCTGCATTGCATTGGATCTGGGCTATTTCATTAGCATTAGATCAAACTAAAGTGATAGGAGACGGAGTAGATCTTATCACCTAAGACTGATACATATAGAATTAAAATTTTTGAAATTTGTATTTCTTAGCAGTTTTAAAAATAATTGTATTTACTTCAAGGCAGTTATTTTTTGTTTTGTTTTGTTTTTGTGGTGCTGGGGATTGAACCCAGGGCCTTGTAATTGGAAGGCAAGCACTCTACCAACTGAGCTACATCCTCAGCCCAATGGCAGTTATTTTAATTTATTAATAATAAAATTCATCAAAAAGTTTTGATAAATGCATTTCTAATTTAATCACTCTGTTAGGAGGCTGAGGGTATATGTAGCTCAGTGGTAGAACACTTGCTCATTATATACAGGGTGCTGGGTTTGATCCCTAACACTACAAAGAAAAAGAAAAAAAGTAAATAATCACCTTTTTATTAAAACTGTGTGTGTATGTTTTCCTGGAAAATTTAAATATCTGGTAGTGTCCCTGATAGTTCGATATTATGCCCTGAAATATTTCAGTGCACAGTTTGGGAATTTCAGTTCTGCATTATGCAACCTGCTCATGGCTGTGTCACTCAGTAAATGTTTCCTTTAAGAAAAAAAAAAAAAAAACAACCTTATTACTCTCTTATATAAAACACATATAGATTGAAGGAATACATGGTGTTAATTCTCATTTATATGGAAAGGTAGTACTTAAAATTAAGCAGTCATCTTTTTAGAAATCTATGGCCTTTGTGAAAAATGTAATTAATATGACAAGTGAACCTTTTGTTTTTGCAAAATTATTCTGAAAGTGTTATTCATGTAAATAAAATCATGGATATTTGAAAACTGTCCTTTTATAACATTGTGATATATTTTTCTTGAGAACTTTAGTGAAAATTTTATTATCTGATTAATTTGATTTTCAGGATTCTTTGGAAAAAAATGTTGCTTCACCCAAACTTCTTTATAATTACATGTGTCATAGTTGTTAGAATGTGAGTGGGTCTGAATTCTGACTTTTTCTCTAACCAGTCTAAGGCAAAACTGATCATAGGTAGCTAGTGTTCCTGTCAGTGATTAGTTTAGGGTGATTGGTAACCCTGTGGCTAATTAGATACAATGGGAAAGTCAGGGGTGGGGAAAGGTTTCCTCACTGATATTAAACACTGCATACTGCTATATTGCCGTTGTGTCTTAGTGTGATGTTCTGAACTTTGCTAGCTTGTTCAGTGACCATGAGTAGAGAAGTAGTTGAGGACAAAGCTAGGAGACTCAGCACAGCGTAGCAGAAGGAGTCCTTGAGGACCATGTTGAATTAAACAGTCCTTGAACAAGTCTGCCTTGTCTCTCTGTTTATATATGTGTTAAATACTCTTAGCTGATAAAGTTATTTCTATTCCTTAACTGTAGATGCTATTCAAACTGAAGCAAAAAACTCAGGACCCTTGGGGGATTGCAGTATAAGTAATCAAATGTGTTTTGAAAAACATAAGTGATTCTGTTCTCATCTTCCTTCTAATCCTTTCCCCCCCATTGAGAACTTTTGGAATAAGTTATGAAACTGAATTAAAGGATTTGGTGAATGATGGTTTATATGGAGAGGCCAAGGAAAAAAGAGGTGTCTAGATGACTTCCATGTTTTAGGCTTAGGTAAGTGGGTAGATGGTGCTGTCATTCTAGATAAAAAGCACTATATAACTCAAAGAACAACTTGTTTTGTACATAATGTGAGGTATCTGGGACTATCTGGAAAGTGATACCAGAAAGTTGGTAGGCATATAGTCCTGGAGTTCAAAGATATGTCCAAAGTATAAGATGAAGAGTAGTTGTAGTTTTGAAACCCTAGGTATAGATAAGGTGCAGATACTCCTTAATGAGTAGGGAAGAGAAAAATATGGAACTTCAGAGAACACTAGTATTTCAATATAGAGTAGGAGTCGAAGTGGTTGAGGAGGAAAAAAAAATGATTACTGATATCCACTATGAAAAATCTCATTTCATGTTAGTTTTTCTTTTTTTTTTTCCCCAGAGAAATTCTGATACCTTTGTAGTTATGGAACTTACTGTTTTTTTTTAAAAAGGCGAATTCTTTCTGAAATGCTTGTATTACTTGATCAATTTGTAATGTTAAATGGTAACCTCATAGAATAAAAAGCTAGCACTATCAGTTAATTCTCTTCTCTTTTATAAGATTGACATAGGACCAAGAAATATATAAATTTTCATTAGTCCTTGTCTACAGTCATTAATATGATAATAGATGTCTTGTTTTTAAGATTTAAACAGACATTTATTATTGCTGCTTGTATTTTACTATGCATATTTTTGTATTCTGTTCTATTCCTCTTGTTATTTCTGTTTTTATCATTTGATATGTGTTAGCTGATATGTTCTTTTATATAAGAATAATATATTCAGGAGAGTTAGGACTTCTGGAACTTCTAAATAAGGAAATTGGCTAAGGAAATCTTTTTTAAAAAATGAAAGCCTGTAGAAACAGGAAACTGATAACTTCTAGAAAGCATTGCCTTAAACCTTTCATGTAATCTGTGAATGCAAATCTAGAATTGTGTGTGCATGCATATGTGTCATATTAAAAACTGTGTGGTGGAAGTATCAGCCATTTATGAGCATTTTCCCCAATAAATGTAGAAATAAAATTTTCAATTAGCGCTATTGCTAAAAGCGTTGAAAAAACTGTTTGAATATTTATTCCTCCCTCCAACTCTCTTTCTTTTCTTTTACAACTTCAGTTTGAATAGCACCTGTAATTAAGGAAGAAAACCGAGCCCTGGGAGCTAGGTAGGACTTCCAGCTATTGATCTGTGTAAACCCTGCTTATACTGTCAGGGGAGAAACAGTCAACTGCTGAGCTGCTTTGTCACTGACATAAGCTGAGAGAGGATTTTTTTGTCTATACTGTTTATACACTAGTCTATAGACCTGCTGGCTGGTTGAATTTTAAAGAGTGCGGAGGTTTAAAGACTTGTCCCCTGAGGGATGCTTCTGCCAGTTGGGAAGCGAGCTGAGGCTGTTTTGCAGAAGTGTGTGCATGTGTGTTGCTTTTGGAAAAAAGGAGGGGGGTGGTGTGAAAGACTGAGCAACTAACTGAGAAGCTTCCTTCTTAATTTGAGTCTTAACATTGATGTGACATATATGACTAATTTGGATATATTTATAGGTGGACACTGGATTTAGACTATTATAGAAATTACATATGCAGTTTTGTAGGAGGATATCTGAATAATGTTCATGTCTGTAGTAAATTGAATGGCTTCACTTGATACAGCACAAGTTAAAGATTAAGCAACAGTCAAGTAAAAATAAACTATTCTTATTTGTGATGAACTATTTTTTAGTAATTTACTTCTAGTTTGGTGACTCCTGTAATTAAATTTAACAATATATTATCAGTAGTAAAATAGCTTTCTCCAGATATGGGGCCTGTGCTCTTGCATTTAAAGGTCCATGCTCATAAGGAAGCCTGGGTACAATGCTCTTAAGGGTAGAAGTGTGCTGTTTTTTTTTTACACCAGGCTTTTCCTTTTTGCTTCCGTGAGTTAAGGCTTTTGGAGCTTTCTTAGATCTTGATATAGGAATTCTACAATGTTTTATTATTGTTATTCTATTGCAGTGTACACTTTGAGAGAATTCAAGACATTCTACTCAGCACTATATTTATATGTTGGGTTTAAAAATTTGATATTGATGATTTCACAAGGTATTAGTTTTATTGCTGAAGAGGTGGTTGTTAAAGTATTTTTATTGGGGATGATGAAGATATTTGCTTTTCTCCCCATTTTTAATAGGAAATAGCCTCATACATCTTTGCTTTGTTTTCTAAAATCACCAGGGCTTTGAATTTGTATGATATTGTCTTCAATTCTGAAGTTTACCTTTTGAGTCAGTTAATTTGAAGTAAATTTTCAGATCTAGTGAGATTTATTCTTTCTTTCTTTCTTTCTTTCTTTCTTTCTTTCTTTCTTTCTTTCTTTCTTTCTTTCTTTCTTTCTTTCTACCTGACAATGTTTTGCATTCTGTTCATAATTGTTAAAACTTGTGATTTCTGAAATTTTTAAAAATTATTTTTAGTACAAAATCATTGAAGGTTTCAAAATCAGATTATTTCTATGCTACATAAAACATTGATTTTAATATGAAGCAATTTTTAAATTAAAGTGCCCAGAATGTATGTTATAGTTTAATGTAAAGGTTTGCTTTTAGATATACATTCATTATTTAAGATAAAACTTAGTTCCAAGTGTTATGATTTTTTTTCTATAGAAAATTTTTTCATTGTTAAACCATTTGAGTATGGGACATGTAGAATTGTAACACCTCTCAGTGATTCATTCAGCTGCCAACTTCATTCCCTTTTCTCTGCCTGCATTTTAATTGAAACAACATTTATATTTTTGAGCCAGGATCTGTCAGAAGTCCCTATGGCTAGTCTGTGGTACAAGTAGCAGCAGACGTAGCTTACCCATATGGTGCGGTGCTTCCTGTAAAATCCATATGGCCTTGTTGAAGGGAATCCCAGCGGGATGTGAAGGGTGTTAATACCCTTCAGGCCAGGACTTTCCCTCCTGGGGCTTCTGTGGCATTGTCAGTGCAATCTGCCAAAGCACAAACTTAATTCCTTTTTAATAATCAATTATTTTAGTCTAGGAACCTGTGCTATTTTTCTTCAGGGGGGAAAAAAAACCCAGCAAACTTTTTCTCCCCCTAGAAAATGTCTCAGCATTTTAACTGCACCTTTAAAAAACATTCTAAAGCTTCTTGTTTCTTCTTTTAATTTGCATTTGTAGGAAGTACTACAGAGCGTGCCAAAGTTCTGTTTCCCCTTTGACGTTGAAAGGTACAGTATGAGCCACTATTTAAAATAATTTTATCTCATCTTAGGGCATACTTTAAAATGATTTCATGTGCTTTTTTTTGATAAAATGAAACATGTTTTCATTGTTTCTAGAGAAACAGTGGAGACTAGAAATTCAAAGTTAAATAATATTGGAACGAAGAAGATTATTGTATCTTTTACTTTCTCCATTGTGGTGAGTTAGGAGAAATCTTAAAGCAGTATTGCCAATAGGTTGTATTTCTTCCATTTATTCTTCAGGTATACATTGTAAGCACTAGCAGAATAAAAGAAATGTTCCCTGATCAGAGCCTTTGAATTGTGTCTTTTCAAATTAAGTGTATATGTTCTCATTTCTATCTCACTTCATCCTAATTGAAAAGACCATCTGTATGATGTTGTAATACTCATGGCTAGTTGTCTCCCAAGTGTAGCTTCATAGAAACAGTACAATGTTATGGAAGACTCCAAAAACTTTTCTAGCAGTTTTTGAAATCTTTTGTTTGTATTTTACTGAACAAATATTGAATGAACTACTTGTATGTAGTGGGAATTTAATAGAGTTATATCCCTTTGAGCATGATAACAGATCATTTATTGTTTTATATGTGCCTTTCACACCCTATTATCAGTTTTATTAAGTGTGTGATGTGAAAAGATTTAAGAAAAATTTATTTAAGGAAAATATTTTGCTAAGGATGAGTGAGACTGAAATTTTACTATATTAAAGATAAAGCCCTTCTGATGATGGGATAATTGATAATAATAAGTATTATTGATGAATGCCACTCCTTGTTTTACCTCACACCTGGGGACTCAGTTGTCCTCCCTCACTTCCCCAAAGTTAAAATTTTCAAATCAATAGGAAGAATGAAAAAAAAGGAAGAAAAGTTGTGAAAGGATATCATAAATTTTGAGCACTAGAGGACACATTAGTCAGCGGAAGTTTTATTTGAAGAATATAAGTTTAATAAAATTGCCCACTTTAATGTATGTTTCTTAAATATCCAGCACTTGAAATTCAGGATTTTCTGACAAAATAGTTTATAGTATTGGTCCATTGGTAATCATTTATTTTCTCTTCTACAATCACTATGGCTGTTTTAGAACCAAAGTTAAGGAATAATGGATTTTTAAATTTTGGGACAGAGCATCAAATGTTCAATTAGTCTTGTAATGTTAAGGTTATATTTAGTATCTGAAAGTATATTCATATATTTTAGTAGTAAGGATTTTATCTAATGGTTTATACTGTTACTTAAACCCCAGTGTAACACATATTATAGTGTTATGATAGTAATTAGCTAAAATTATTTACAGCTTAGCAGTATGCTCCTTTGGAGACGCCATATTCTTATTTTTTACCTGAAAATTTATTCCTTGGTACATTGATAGCTCTAAAACACTGTTTGTTATGATAGTTTATTGGTTGAGAATGTTAACAAAAGAAGCAATTTTTAAAGAGTGGGTGGTGGTTGCCCTTAGATTTTGGAACAGTGTGATTTGCTATATAAGCAATTAATATTGGATAAAGCAGACTGGGAAAATAGAGTTGAGCACAAGAACTCAGTCATCACATGTAGCTTCTTCTACAGTTTTAGCAACAGTTATTTCATAATTTACAAATATTTTCTGAGGACTTCTAGTTTATGACAAGTTAGAACAAATTGTCTTATGATTTCCTGGTAAGGGATTAGCATATGCTCAATTTGTTCAGTCTATGAGGTATTACAATTTATCTTGATGTTTGACTCATGAGTGAGTTTACACATTTCACACTCATTCTAGTTTTAGAAGACAGTTCCAGCTTTAAGAACCAACTGATGGGAGATATGAAAAATTGTGCTCTATATGTGTAATAAGAATTGTAACACATTCTACTCTCATATATAAATTTAAAAAAATAATAAAAAACCCAACTGATGGGATAGATGAAACCAATGCCACATATAGATATATTCTTGCCTTTGTCTTTCTTTTGGAAAATAAAAATACTGGGCTTACTGTTTCATACTTTTACTATATTTTAGGGTATCCCAAAATCAAGTTGGACAGCACTTTACCTTTGTACTGACAGACATTGAAAGTAAACAAAGATTTGGGTTCTGCAGACTCACATCAGGAGGCAAAATTTGTTTATGCATCCTTAGGTAAGTAATTGTAGTAGAAAAATTGATTGCAGGATAGACTGTGTTATTCTTTATTTTGTTACGCCAAAGCAAAAACAGTAAACCTCTTGTTTTTCTTAACTCTTTTTTTTCTAAATCTGAATAAGTGGAACAATAATTTTTCTTACTTCCTACATACAAAATCAGTTATGTGTAAAGATTTACCAGTACCATAGTCGAATTTTTCTTCAAAGACATTTACTTTTTTAAACATAAGGTTTTGTGGATTTATTTTTAAAAATTAAATATTAAGATATGAGTTCAAATAATATGTGAGTTTCACATATTAAAGAGGATACAATAAATTCAAGTAAACTAATGTGTGCCCTTTTCTGTCATTGAACCACAACTTCAGAGTATTTGAGATGAATTGCTGTTTTAAAGCAAAGGTTGCAAAATTGTGATGGAGCAGAAGTTAAAGGTTTTTGTTCGGCCACTGGGTGTTTTAAAAATTTTAAAAGATGTTGTTAACCTTATAAATTTTAGGATGCTTTGTATAAAATTTATATTTCTAATTCCTTTTGAGAAATGGGAATATCTGCTAATTATGGTCCTTTACTCCCCAATGGCAGCAATAAGCTGAAACTACATGTCAGATTTTTTAGTTCTGTAATTATCTTGCTAGTTTTCATAGTTCTTACCTGTTCTGTCTCAATAACTTTCCTGATGGGCCTAGAGTTAGTAGGTAGACTGTGTCTCTGGCCTGTGGACCTCAAATCTGAGTTGCTGGCTATTGAGGAGGAGGGGTTTTAAAGGCAAGCATTCCTGCAGTGTGTCCTCATGAATCAGAAATAAATTTGCATGTAGCATTTAAATTTAGTAAAGCCATCATTACTTCAGAATATTTACATAAAATATAAACTATGACTATTTGTTAAATGACTGTAACATGAGTACAGTCTCCATATCTGCATTCCAGTTTTCATTCATTTGTAGGAACAGATTCTAAAACACAGTAGTCAATTTTTTTTTTTTTTGTGGTTCTCAAACTGTGTATGCAAAGAATACCTGAATGTTGAAGTATTCTTTAAGTATTAGGAGAAGTGTTATCTCCAAAAAAAATTGTTTACATAAATACAATAAAATATCAAAAGTTAAATCGTATTTGTCAATCAAGGTAACCTGTCATATAAGCATTGTTCATTATTTTATCTTTTATTAAAATTATTCCTTTTATATGTGATGGCTTTTTTAGGTCATTTGACTGCTTTTTGGTAGATGTGAAATATATCTAAAAGCTCTATGAAAATAATCACAGAGAAAAATTTAAAATTGTGAAAATTCTATTCTCCTCCTTATTTTTCTTTGTAAATTAGGAAAATATTTCCTGTTTGACATTTTAATGGCATATCTTAATCTGTCTGAAAGTTAGCATCCTTTGAGAACAGTTATTTAGAGTAGTCAGATAATAATTTAGTTTTAACAGTAAACAGGGAATTCAACTATAGTAGAATTAAGCAAATTATTCAGAAAGTTGTTGTGGATGGGTAAATATCTATCTATAAGTAGTCAGCATTGTCTCTTGGAAAATAATTTTGGCAAATCTCTTTAAGTGCCATATAGCTAGAGGACTAATAGTGTTCTTGGTTTTGGTTTGTCTACCTGGTTGGATCATCCTCTACCACTTTATAATTGTTGAAAGGAATGATGAAACTATAAATATACTAGAAAAAATACTGCTGACTTTAAAAATATTACTGTGATGGTGAGAGCTTTTATGTACCTAACATGGATTGCTGAAACCTGAAAAATTGGTGCAGTTGCCCATGTGATGATGATGAATATTTTTGTTTGGTGACAAATATAATAAGGACACTTTAAATATAAGTAATAAACTGGTAGAAATAAATTTATAACCATTATAACATGGGTTTAATAGTCATAATATATTAAATACTTAAAAATTAATAAGAAAAAGAAATCAGTAGAGAAATAAGTATCTGAATAACTCAGAGTAAATGTGAGTAGTACACTTATGAATGCTGCTTAGCCATACTGAAAGTAAAAAAAGAGCATATTTAGATCAACAGAATTGAAAAAATATATTCTTAATAAGCTTGAGTGAACATACATCTTATGTGCTAATTAGTTGGATCTTGTCATTCCACAATACTTGTATACTTCAAAACGTGATATTTAGGGGCTGGGATGTGGCACAAGCAGTAGCGCGCTTCCGGGCATGTGTGCGGCCCAGGTTCGATCCTCAGTACCAGGTACAAAGATGTTGTGTCCGCCGAAAACTAAAAAACAAATATTAAAAAAAAATTCTCCCCGCCCTCTTTCTCTTTCTATCACTCTCTCTCTCTCTTTTTTTTAAAAAAAAACATGATATTTACATGATTAACACATATCATTTATATACAATTTAAATAATAATAAAAATAAAACATTTGATGACCACATTGATGAATATTCTTCAACAGAACTTGACTAAGTACTTTATGGTGCATTTCCCAGCCTCCATTCTATGCCAGAATTCTTTATGCTACCTCCAAAAGCACAGAGAGTTTTGACATACTCCCACTGTTGGCAGTAGTGCCTGGCATATATGACTGCTTAGTAGATATAATAGATACTTGTAGAACAAATGAGTGAATGGCTTAATACAAGGAATGTTATTTAATTGCTAGGCAAAATTAAACACAAATATACATCCTGACTTGGAGAAATGTTCATGAACATTTATTGGAGATTGATTGCAAAATGATGAAAATTTTCAAAGTAATGTTTATGAGACTGTATGTTCTATGTTTATAAAGAACATATCGTATGTGTGTATTTGAATATGTATTTTAAGAAGTAGCTAATCTATGACAAATTATAGTATATTAGTCTATGAGTGCATATTCTTATCAAGAAGTCTAGAAGGATACCTTCTTCCTTGTTTATTAAACACTTTAGAATTTATCTTTTTTTGCAATATGAAAAAATCATTTCAATTGTTTTTTTCTGAAAATCTGAGCTTCCAACATTTTACAGATAATAAACTATAAGTATGAAACTATAGATAATATGTTAAAAATTATCTTTTTTAAAAATCATCTTTTCCCTGATAAAATAACTATCTTATTAATGTATTTCAGTATAGTCAGTAAGTTGATCATGGCAGTGTAACAGAATTAAAATGGGAAGGGGGAGATTTTTCCTATACTCCAGAAATGTGAAGATGTGAAAGAATAACCTTGGAAAGAAAAAACTATTGCTGATGTTGTGACTATGACAATCTTAGAGTCAGATATTAGTGCTTTTCTGTAATTTCAATGTAAAACATACAGTATATTTTATGAGATAGTTAGATAAATGCTAATATAAAATACTAAATTTTATTTCCTATTTTCCCCCTTTTAACAATGCTCATTTGACAGTATGCTTAAGATGTATTACAAAAGAGTTTGTTTAACACACACACACACACACACACACGATATATCAAACCAAAATATAGAATAAGTAGTAAATTTTTAGAAGGAATAGGGGAAGACAGATATTACGGAAATACAGTAATATCTTATAAACTACTCAGAATTATTTTGGGGAAGACCCCCTTATAGACCAGTTTTCTTTATAACAGGCTATGTTGCTTCCAGTGGTATATGAAAGAAGATCAACTATGTTGCTCTTCTGAGAATTTACTAGTGGCTAGTCAAAGCCTCAGAGTAATGTTTGCAGTTTTGTAGGACTGTCTTGAACTCATGTATTAACTCATGTAGTTAATAGGGCTAAAATTTATTGAAGATTTTGACAAAATACTTATGTAAGGAAGTTACATAAATATTTTTAACTAGGTTTTTTGATAAAAACATGTTATATTTTATCATGAAAACTAAGAAGATTCAGAGAAGGTTAAAAAAGAAAATAAGTCATACATTTGTGCCACATAATCAATACTTACATTTGGTATTTAGTTCTAGTCTTATTGCCATAAGACTTGTTAATGTACATTTACAGACTTTTATACAGTAAATCAAACTAAATAATTAACTGTAGTCTTTATTCATAATTACTAAAATACATGAATGTATCTAAAGTAATCCATAAATCCAGAAAGTTCCAGTGACTTTTATAATATCATCCATTAGTGCAGAGAATTTTTCACACTAATCTGACATTTGGTTGTGTTTCTCTTTTGTTTCCTTAGAGGGTGAAATTTCACACACGTTTTCTTCCTTCTGATTACAGGTTATTTTTAATCAGTTACTTATATCTTTACTTGAAGTATGACTTTTGAATGTTAACATTTAATACCTTGTCCTTGAAGCTGTCATTTGGTACAGTATTAATGCATTTATATTGAATCATACTGCATCTTTAAGTATTATATTGTGAGAGACATTGGTTTGATTATTCATTTATTATTATTCATACTCATTAGCAAATGAATTAAGATTCTTGGGTAGAATTAATTGTTGTTTTTCTTGTCGTTTCTACAATAACATGAACTCTGAATTTTTCTGTTGTTATCAAATATGTCTCCCCCATATTCTCATTTATGTTGTTACCCCATAATGTGTAAATTTGTGTTTCAGTGATCTAAAAATTTTAAAAGAAAAATATTTATAAATGACTCTTGAGATTTTGTTGATATTGAACAGTTAGAAATGTTTTAGGACCTTTAAAGTAGTTATAATAAAATAATACATCCATCTACCTATCTACCTACCTACCTATATAAGGAATTTTAAGATACTTTATTGCAAAGTAAAATAAACCACTGCAAATTGATAGAAAATTTTCATTAGCTCAAGCAGAAAACAACTTTGATGGTTGACTCTTTGAATAGCAGGGACTCTTAAATTAATGATAATTTTCCTGATGACAGTGAATTAGCAGCATCATGCAGTGTTTGTTTGCTGTAGCCACATTCTCTGCTAAGTGACTTATATGCATTATTTTAAAAATAATTCTTGGAGTTTAAATTAGAAATTTATATCCAATACATTAAAGCTACTTTTCTCCTGGATCATGCTATTATGAGATTTAAA